TGATGACGGCGTGTGGGCTCGCGGCCAGCAAGGAGAGAGCGGACGCCGCCTCCAGGCCCTCAAGAGCAACATGGGCCAGCAATACGAGGAGATGCTTGTGCTGCTGCTGGGCGCCGACATCCCACGATCGTGGAACGCCATCAAGAACATCAACTCGCTGCTGAAGGCCCGAGACCCCACCAAGCGCAAGTCCCTCGACGCCGTCCTCGACGCCATCACCGCCGCCGCCATCGACCGACACGAGCTGGGCGAGAAACCCGAGTCCACGCCGCCTGAGCTTCTCCCCGTCGGCATTTAGACGGCGTTCCGAGGCGAGTTCGTTTATTCAAATGAGCTATCCTCGCGGGGACTCAATGCATTACCAGACCCGGCACAAACATACCCTACTTGGCTTTGAATCACCAGCACTCCATCCGCACCCACGCTATGGACTTGAACGTTAACAATAACTGCAGATCTCCGTCCCGGCGAAGAGCCAGGCTCCGCCAGTCGCCGCTCCACCCCAGCCGTCTCCCGCAGCGGCACTCCGGCCTCAGACCCCTCCAACTACGGCACGCCGCCTCCGCCCCCCTCAAACTGCGGCACCCCGCTCGAGCACCCCCTTCAGCATGGCAACCCGGCCCGCGCCGCACCCCCCGAGCTCCGCCCCCGAAGCTCTCCCTTGGCATCCGTTCTGGCCGGTCGCCTTTCCTCCCCCGCTCCCCGCGTCGCTTCCCCTCTGACCCGACCCCTGAAGCGCCATCTCAACCCAGACGCCGCCTACCAGCCCCCGTCCAAACGGGCTCGAGCCCCCACCACCACTCCTGACGCCGCCATCCCCTCTGTTGAGACCGACGACGAAGAAGAAGCCGAGGACGCACGGGGCCGCGACGACAATGTCGCTCCTGACGTGGAGGAGCTCGGTCCCATCCTGGACGACAGCCCAATCGCCAGATTCAAGGGCAAGCAGCCGGCGCTCCCGGAACCCCTCTCTGCGCTTCCTGACCCCATTCCCAACGACTAGGACTCGTCATGGGACGATGAGGAGGAGGACGAGAATGTCGAGGCCGCCGACTGGGTCACCCTTTGGCGCCGCTCTGCCCAGACCATCCTCGAGCTGCCCAAGCCAAGGGGCGAGTGGTCTGGCGGTGTGTACTATGAGATTGTGAAGGGGTTCCGGGCTTCGGCCTCGATTGTCGCCGCAGCGGCCGAGCTGTACCAGAAAGGGGTGGGGCAGAACGAGTAATTGTTGTGGCAGCAAGTTTCTTTTGGGTTGTTTTTCCTTCTCTGTTTGTTTTGGCCCGCTCCGCACTCTTTGATTTTCTGGCGCTCTTGTTTGTTTTTTTTGGCGCTCTTGCACCTGTTGTTTAGCATATTATGCAACCCATTTGTTTGTTGTCTGAATACTCGTATGCGGATTCAGTGAAGGCGTGAAGTGGAATTGGCCAAGTTGGGCGTCAAGTCGACAAATCGTCGCAAAGTCAAAGATGAAATCGCTGTCCAACAGTTTGACTGACATTCTACTGACAGTCTACGTCCAGACCAAGTGGTCTTCACGGGAGCAAAAGAACGCCAGCATCCACTTCTCCATGTGTCATTTCCACTTCATCCAAGCCCTTCATCGTCTTCTTCCAGACGGATGAAGCTTACCGAGTTCTGTTTGCCGGCGCTGCTGAAGACACGCCGCATCCTGGCTCCACGGCAAACCCTCGACAACTCGGGGTGTCAATGAGATCGTTCTGCAGGTCCCGTACAGGAATATTCCGGATAGCTGAGTGGCGAGTACTCCGTCCAAGACTTAACGGGCTTCACAACGTCCCATCCCGCCAACTCATCGTTCGGCAGGTAGTCTTGCAGGGGCCACTGATCATCCAATTGCACGAACGCTCCTCTTGCTTCACTTTCTAGATCGTCGGCTTGATTCTCTTCCTGCTTCGGGCAAAGGCCTCAGGCGGTTGATATTACGTTCGGATAACCTGGTAAGAAAGCGATGAGAAGCAAGAGTATGACAGGCCCTCCATGCACGATAGGGACTCCTACTGAAAAGCATGGAGCGCGTTCTCGAGCATCAAGATGATGCGCGCGCTGCGGTGTGGTAGGCCGCGGCGAGCTGAGATAGATTGACACCCGTGCCTCTTGCCTTGTGCACTAGAGCTCAGGTTGTTTCTGTTCAAGCTGAACTATGAAGCATGCACTATGAGGGGGGTGCTCTTAATTATCCCGATGTCACACTGCGATTCTGCTGGATCTCGGAAGCAAGACATGACAGCAGACTGAAGCAGAGCCAAATCTAACCACCCTGCTAGTAATGGCATCTGTGGGTGGTTAGACGCTGAAGGACAATGCAGACTGCCTGCGCCGGCTCAACCGTCCCGCAGCACCGCCGTGCCGGTCTTCAGCCCGGCCCAGGCCGTGATGCTGCTGCCCTTGCAAGGCCCGAAGTCACCAAGAAGAAGCCCGAGCCCGAGCCCCAGCCCGAGCCTGAGCCTGAGCCTGAGCCTGCCGAGTCCACTGGTAGGAAGATGTCTACAACTGTCGTGAAGTCAGATGTTATGCACGTCGTCAGCACACATGAAGACGTTGGCCTTGATGTCGGGATTGAGATCATGGCGCACCCTTTCTTTCTTAATCTTGACTTGTTTCCCCAGGCTAGAATTTGAAACGAGTCACCATGCTGCCTCTGACACCGTCCACTGCTCATCCGTTACCTGCTCCGGGGGACTGATCTCCCAGCTAATGTCGCGCAGGCTGCTATCAGTACATCCGAGGCACGTCTTGCAGTCCGCCCGATATGGAGTAGGGCGAGCGGCGGTGGTGGGCGAAAGGCCTCGCACATGCTCTAATTATCCCTGTCTCCGGCATCTCTTCTTGCAAGGGCTGCGCCATTTCCTGGGCGACGGTGTGGCCGGCTCGGGTGCGTTTGTATTCTCGTCTCTGTTGGCTCCATCGTCCATGTCTGTACGTTCTTGATCTTGGCCGGGGACGAGGCGAAAGCATTGTGGAGCAAGTGCGATATGCAAACAGGCCAAGACCGCGGCTGCGACGCCATATCTGACATGTCTGCTTCACGAGCAGTCAAGAATCCGCCCACAGGCACAGGTTATGGGTTTTGATAGCAGAAGGTTGCCAAACGGGCTGATGTTGACCCAGCCGGTCCCAAACGGGATCGTTTGTTGTGGGATATGCGTGATGGAGGATGAGGCAGAGCTTTCCTGCTCCTTTCCAGTCAAGAAGTACAGACACTCGGTCATTGGGTTGAAAGAAACGACAAGACGGAAGTCAGCTGCTCTTCATTCACGTAGGTTCATAGCTTTCCTCTCTTCTTCCCTTCATCGAGTAGGTAAAAGCCAAACCAACGATTACTGACATTTCCAATGATTCCGCAAGCGACTCTCCCGACAGACACGGCGCTCCATGCCACGATCATGAACGCCTTCCACACCCCCAAGCATGAGGAAGATGTCGAATACGACGACGCCGGCGCACAGCGAGTCCGACCATTCGCTAGCTCGCCTTCGGAGGCATACCATCGGGGTCCTGGAGGAAGAGCTCAGTTTCGCCCTGGAGTTGATGCAGAGCGCGGAGGGCTGCGGCGACTGGCAACGCCTCCTTTCTGCCATCCAAGAACGCATCAACCGGCCCCATTGATGTCCCCTAACTCGCAGCGGCTGCGAGCTCCATCGCCTCCGCTGCCAGGCCGGATGTCCCTCACAACATCAGTCGCACATCTCAGTGGCCCCCCGAACTGCCGCAGGAGAGTCTCGGCAAGCAAAGGCGCCGCACGTGGGCCCCAGCGACCACCTCCCCAGGGCTAATAAACCCAGGCGGCTTGGTGGATATGCGAGGCGAGCATCCGACTGCCGGCTTAATACTCGAGATACTGGCGTCGGTTCTGCCTTCAAGCCAGCCAGGGTTCTGTCTGAGGGTCCGTCTGGGGGCCGATCTGGGCTCCGAACCTGGGCGCAAGCTTGATGGGTGCTGCGGGTCGAGCTTCCAACAGCATTCGCCCGGGATTTGCGTCGTCGAGTAGTGGTATCACCAATATTTATGATGGATACTTCCTATCCGACGAGCCCGTCCCCATGCTTTAAGTTGCCATCTTCTTGTGCTCGTTCTGCTTTTCACGTCAGCTGCCTTGCCGTGGGATGTCTAAGACCGCCCAGGGCTAACTTTGACCGTCCTTCGGAAATAAAACAAAAGTCAAGCAGAACATGCGGCGCGTTCCAGTTGAGACAGCACGGCATTCGGCAGAGGGCACCGCAGACACCACTGGCGATGTCCAAAACGGTGATCAAGATGGCGACACAACAGCTCCCGCTGCGCCCAGCCTGTGAGCTGCAACCCAGCCCGCGGCCCGACTTCGAGGACAAATCCGCCGAGGTCAGCGAGAGGCAGGAGTAGCCATGCAACGGGCACGGACGACACATGATGGAAATCGAGACGGAGAAGGAGTCAGAGGTTGTGCGCGGCGTGGGCGGCTGCTCCGAGCCTGGAGGCGTCATTCGGACTGAGCATATGTCACCATTTACACAGTTCGGCGGCTGTGAAGGCTTGAGCTCGATGCCGATCGGAATCCAGAGATCCAGCACACGAGAAAAGGTGAAAATAGCAAAAAGGCATATGCTGAGGTCGGCGATGTCGATAGCTGTGAGCACGAGGGCGGCGCTTTACCTAGCTTCGAGGATGGTGCTTGAATGTTCTAACAAGCATGCAGGTCAAGGAACTGGGCCCCAAGTGCAGTACGTAGCAGGCGAGGATAATTTTGTTCACGGGACGTTTAATGGAGACTTGAGATCCTCTTGACTTGTGTCTAGTAGACTGAATGCTCTTAGACGAAGCTGTCGTCTACCCCCTCCTCCCCCCTAAATCCATCCGATGCCCCCGAACACCCTCGATCTCTTGACCAATGCCTTGATCCAGCAAGGGCAGGATGACCTTCCTTCGCAAGACTTTACCGCCGAACTCTAAGAGCCATCATAATCCATCATCATTCATGTCACATTATCTCATACCACATTGCCTCATAGTCCCAGGATGATTTGACGGAACCAAGGCCAATACTCTTCCCGCAACCATCGACTCAACAGCTGGAGACCAGCGACAGCCTGGTAGACGCCTTTGACACTCCGTGTCGAAGCAAACGGCAGCTGGCACCACAGTCTAGCAACGCCATCCCTGTCACGCGTAAAGGCAACAAAGGACCATTGGTGTCCCTGAATGATGACTGCTGGCAGGAATACAAGCCCAGCAGCGACAGCGGGAGAGGTGTGTTCAACACCGATGCCCCTGCTCCAAACCAGGTCATCAAGTCGGTTCCATTGCGCAGCAAGCCAGATGCCAACCTGGGTCCTTGCTGTTTCCCAATCGGCCCCTGTCAGCTTGGTCTCGATGGCAATGCCGATGGGTTTGTGCAGTAATGCTGCGTATTCGGTGTGGTTGATGGACTGCGAGGGACTGCGGAGGACGGTTGGAATCACATGTTGCGGCGTGTCAGGTTCGATGTGGATGCAGAAATCGACTCGTCGGTCGCGCGGGAGGCTTGTGGTCGTCTTCGGGGCGTACTCCTTGGTCAAGGGCGCGGAAGTACTGTTCATGGTGTCAGCGGAGGAAGCTGGGAAATCTGAAGTCTACCAAGAAGAGGCTCACCAGCTACAGTATCCGACAGCCTTGTCGTGGCCAAGTGCTAGCTCTAGCATGGGATAATGGACAGCACAGTTCCACTGGTCTTCTCCGTATCCCCTTTCTGCTCGCTGTGCAGCATGCCACAGGCGCAGCGCTTCGTGCAGTCGCGGTGTCGGCCCCAATGCTCGCCTCTCTGTCCCGTCATCGACCGTTGTCGAAAGTTCGGGATTAGAGGCTGGGCGGACGCCCGTGTCTGCTTGTGCTAGTGTATCTTGGGCTGGTGAGGGTTGAGAGCGTGCGAAAACGGTATTCTTGGCCCACTGAAACATGTTTGGACGTGAATGTTTTGCCTCGAGAATCGCCGGCTGCAATTAGCAGATTAGCAGGTGTACCCATCTGAATACTGCATTTGAGGCCAAATACCTCTTCCGACTCGTGTATAAACCCCTCTCCATCAGCAAGTCTCCTCATGTCGCCTATCAAACGGTTCAACGCCTCCGGTGGAGTCTCCTCCCCGTCTATGTTGGCATCTACAACAGTTCCTTCGAACTCGAGTATCATCTTCTGCTTGCGAGGACTTCCGGATTGCCGTCGACGCTTCGCAGAAGACTGTTTGGAGGATGCTTCAGAGTGTCCAGATTGTGATTCGGCTGTCGACTGCGTGGGCGATGTTTGGGGAGACGCGATGCTCGAGGGGAATGGCGGCAGATATGGCACCTGGAATACGGGTTGTCTTGGCGTTGCGTCGACATCGACTTCGACATGATCATCAGCACCATCGCCGGTATGACGTCGCTTATCGGCTCGACCGGGTCGCTGGGGAGTTGAAAGCTGTTGAGCCTGCGAGGCCTCGGAATCGTCCATAGCAATTGCGGGGGGGCGGGCAGGTCTCGAGGTATCGGAACAGGGAGGAGAGATGGGTCGACTGAAGCCGAGATGCTGGTCGAGCTCTGCAGTGCAGGCCTTGCGCTTGCGCGTCGGGGGTGTGAGCTGCTGCTCTGAGGTCGGATTTGGAGGTTGCTCGGGAATCGCAGCTAGCCACGATAGAATTCGAGACGGCTCGCGCATCGTCATGCATCGAAAAGGTGCTGGCAAGCAGTGCGAGATGGGGTCGTGAGGTTGTGAAGATGAAAGGTGGAGGGTGTTGTGTTGTACGAGATGGGGACATTTGGGATTGGCTGGGCAACGAGCACAGGCCACCCGTTGACGGAACTATGGGGCCGGTCCTGATTTCTTTAAAGCGGGGCGGGAACACCCGGCCCGGTCGTAGCCCACCTGATTCATGTACCCACATGTCCGGAGGATCTCCGGAGAATTGCCGGTGTGCCCTAAGTCTCGCCCAACACAAACTAGCGAAGCTTGTCTTATCCCTTTAAAGCCGAGTAGGTGTAATTTAGCGCGGTTTTCTCCCCAGTTTTCCTCTGCTTACCTCAGTAGGTAACTGAGGAGTTCTCTGTAGAATCTGATTTGCTTAGATCCCCGTTCTCTATTTAATATCATTAGGCATTGAAAAGGACGCTAAATTACACCTACTCGGCTTTAAAGGGATAGTCAGGCGCCAGACCTTGCAGTGGTAACTTCAGCGCGTACATTTATCCTTTCAGATATCAGCATTACAGGTGTAGAAGCAGCGTTGCGTTGGAACCCATTCGCTTCATATCCTCTACCAACCAGCCACGCACACCCTCATATGCTCGCCGACCGGACCAAAAGCCTCCTCTTAGACCCGTTAAGCTGGAATTTGAGACAAAGAATCACCAACAAGTGAGCTACAATTCGGAGATTCAAGCACTATTGCTGCGTTTCATATGAGCCGTGCATAATTAACCAACAACGATCCATCAACAGTAAAGGCATTGGTACCGTCAAACAATACCTTGCAGACTTCGAGACGGCACTTGGAACGGTCCATCTTGAGTTACTATATCTTCGTTCGTTCCCATGATCATCTAGAAGTCGGCCTGGGTGGACGATGTCAAGTTTCATCCGCGAGATTTACACATGGGACGGGAACATTTGCGGAAAGGCTAGCAATCGCGGTGAACTGGCTCTCGGCGAAGTCACGGAACAAACTTTCCGAGGACAGGCCAGCCTTTATCGTCTTATGTTCTACTGATAGAAGGGAATTCCATCGGTTGTTCGAAGCTGAGCATGGGGGGGTACACTTCAGTTGCTGGGTCTCGATACCACGTACGACAATCTACGTCCAGCTAACTGCACCACCGCAGCGGGTAGCAAGCTTATTGGATGTCCTGATAGTATTACCTTGGATTGGATTACAGGTGCTGTCGACACATGACGGCACGGCAGTGAGTGCGGCCGCGACCGGGATATGGAATGGGGACATGCGTGGAATTGGGACATGTTTGGCATCAAGACATCAGCGTGGGTATATCAGACTCGCAAGTCGCTTCGAATTATTGAGCGACGAAGCTGATGCTCTGGTAGTGGCAGCTGAAAACTGCTTATCAACATGGCTTGATCCCAACGCCAGCATCCATTGTGTCGCCTGCATGAGGACTAGAGCGCTGCCCGGGCTGTATTCACTGCCACGTCTTGCATCCTGATCTGTGCGATAGCTTAAATCGGGTCCTTCTAGCCGTCTCAGTCTTCTCAGCATGGCTTTCAAGCATCCTGCCATTTAGAAACCATGCCATCTGGCCCAGCTTACTTTTGAATCATGGCCTTCGGGCTTCTCCCAGGTTGAATCCAAGTTGGCGGACCTTGCGTGTGTCGAATGTCTCGAAGTATGCCGGCTAATGGCGTAAGAACCCCCCGGAATCGCCGCCGACCACAAGCGGCGCCTCTGTGTGTTCATCAACGCCTCAGTCCTGTGCGCGTCAGCGGTGCTGCAAGCCACGCAAGAATGCGCGACCACTGTCATCTGGCCCAGGGCGCAAAATAGGCATGCTGGCAATGTAGGTTTTGCTCTGCAATGGAACTTCTTCGATGTTCCTGGTGTGATACTCTGCGTAAGAAATGGACCTCCTTTGCTCCAAACAGCGAAAGCTATGGTAGAGTATCGTTCCCATACTCCACGTCCATGCCTGTCAATGAGACGAGCAACAAGCTCATCGCCTGAACGATACCGCCGCGTTGTCCAAGTTCAAATCGATGAAGCTGCCTTGGACGGATTCGAGGTTCAGGATCAGGGGCAGATGACCCCGAGGACACTTCTCCACGCGTGCAACACGTATCGAACCCCCAACATGACCCGACAGACATATTACGTGCTCACGAGAACCAGGGTTTCCAAGACTCGCGCCTGTCGAAAGGCGCCGACACTTCGAGATCTATGCCTGTGCATTGCAAACAGAACAAAATCGGGACGAAGTTCATCACAAATCATCTACACCCGTGTGAGCAGCCGGCCATACCAAAGTTGACCGGCATTGCTGGACGGCCGACTGGTGCAGGTCGGAACCAGCCAACCGTCTCGCCCACGTTCATCTCGTGAACATGTCAGAACTCACCGCAACCTTCGAAGGGGGCAATGGGTGCTTGGCAAGGGATCAGCCAGTACTAAGGTCCCAAGTTGGGGTGAGGTTGGCGTCCACCACTTGGTCATCCCCGCCGTTGACTGCATTTTGTGTCTTTCGAAGCCTGCCCCATCTGCGAAAAGCAATTCTTCACGACTTTAGCATGTCCGCGGTACGAAAACCCCAGAACAAGTCTGAAGACAGGACGTCGATGGCACGTGACTGGTTCATTGCGTGAACAGTATGCGTGCAATCAAATCACAGCCGCGCCATACATCCACAAGATCATGCTCCATTCAAGCGGACCAAAGTTGCGTACAATTGGGGGTATCAATTTAAAGCTCATATCTCAACTCCTAAGATAGTTATTCTCGCATACTGTCCTCCGCATTGTGTGCGCCTCCCAAACAGATAAGCAAGTCAATACAATAAACCAGTCGTTCGTGTAATGTAATGTCCCAAGCACTCTCACGTCTCGGCTTCTACCCCTCGATCCTTCACTTTTTGCTGCCGCTTGACAACATCCTCAAGCTCGAGTTGCAGTCGGCGCTCGGCTGCTTTCAGCGCCCGGCCTGACATCTGTACCGATCTGAGTCGTTTCAGACAAGCTCTTTTCCGAGCCTTCACTTTCGCCCCATACAATGTGTCCTCCTCTGTCGGGTTCGGGATATCCTCTAACGAAGAGAGAATGGCTGCTCGGGCGGCGTATTCCTTCGACAGATGCTCGCTCTCTCTTTCACGCTGTTCTGGCGTGGCTGTGGACAGAATATCGTGGATTACCGCGAAAACTTCACGAATGTCCCCATGGTGATTCTCGAGCTGGCGAAGGTTGCGTGTGCGGGACTTCATCAGAATTTTGTCCACATTGTCCTCGTATGCCTTTCGACTGGCGACCGACGCAGACCAATCGTCCTCGGTGACGCGTGCTCCTTTCCGGGCGTAGAACATGTCTTGCTTGTTGTCGTAACTCGCTGTGTCGAGCTCTGGACGAAGCCTCCACGGGGCATCCTCTGCGTCAAGGGCAGATCCGTAGTCAAAGGAGGCGAGTGCCTTTCTCCACACATTTGGGTCTGTATTCACCGGAGACCTTCTTCCTGCGATCAGGTAGGCGGCGTTGACGAGGGTGTATACACCACAGTCTTTGTCTCCAACTTGCTGCAGACTTTGCCGATACACCACGGTCGGCGTGCTCGATCCGAGAAACTTGCCGAGGTGACCGCGGCAAAGGTCGCCGATGGATGCTTCGATGTTCTTTTTCCACGAAGACACATCGGACATCGAGTCAAAAACTTCCACTTCTGGAGGGTCTGGCCTGATCGCAAGTAGAACCCAATGTTTGGGGTTTTCGATGTGCAATGGAACCAGAACCTTCTCGGCGCCCTCTAAGTCCTCTTCATAGACCCCAGCTTCCGCCACATCAAAATCCGAGGGTATCATGGACCATTTGGATGAAGCAACAGCTCCGATGAGTATTCGGAGACAGGTCACCATGG